AAGGCAAAGTTTAAGGTTTAGGGTTTTGGGTTCAGAGTACAAGGCAAGGTTTAAGGTTTAGGGTTTAGGGCCTAGGGTTTATGGTGATTAAAGCTGATTGGCAGAGTCTGGGTTCAATAAAATGGTGATTAAAGGGCTTTTTGGAATTGCGGGTCTGTAGGCTTGTGGTTCGGGCTTAAGCTCGCCGACGGAGGCTTGGGGCCTTGTCGGTAGTTGTTCTGGAAAGTTCACGGTGGCAGGTCTTTCTCCGGGTCTGGGCCATGAGGACGGTGGTTTCGTCTGGGTCTTGGGGTTGGGGGAGGTTGCACTGAAAGACGAAAGCGATATGATTTGCATGATAGCGATACTTAGTTATCCACGAACAGGAACGTACCATTATGTACCTAGTTCGTTCAAGCTGCCCCAGCTACTGCAGGACTTGATTGTGGTTGCATGCTGGCTTGCCTTTGATCTTCGAGGTAGAAGGCATTGTTTCCCCCAAACCCCATGCCACAAAATTGGCTTCCCGCTGTTAGGAAAGTCATTGTGCCCCGGGGCAGAGTGCGTCACCCCCGGTCCGAACAGCAGATATAGAGGTTAGAAGCGGATATGCACGACCAACACCTTAAGTCCGGGCCACTGACCCCGTTTGTCCAAACTTTCTGTCCACTTGGAGGATCAAGGGTCTTAGTAAGTAAGATTATAAGTACCTTAGTTTGGGTTACAAGTCATGGTTGTTTTGGTTACCTTTTTAATGTCCCTGTTCACTGTCTTCTATGTATCGTACACCCCGATACACTCCACAAGTCTTAGAACGCATACCGTATAACGTCTCGACCTCCACTTGAGCGCCAGCGGTCTCCCTTCCCACTTCAGCGCAATCTTGGATTTGTGTTAGGGTTTAGGGTTTAGGGTTTAGGGTTTAAAGATGAAAAACAGTAACCTGTTCGGAGAACCGCCAAAGCCTACAATCGCAGACCTCACCTCACATGCCCGCGTTGTGAGAGCATACAAAGCATCAAGTCCGAGTCGCGAGAGTCCCCTAAACCCTAAACCCTAAACCCTGAAGCTTCAAGTGTCACGCCGACCTTTGCACCTATGGATCCTCGCCTGGCTTGTCCGAGTTGTGAGACCCTAAACCCTATACCCTAAACCCTAAACCCTGAAGCCGGCTGCTTGCCGCCGAGGCAAGCTGGATTCGTTCGGGAAGGTCCAGGAGGCGATTGATTCCATGGTGGATGCCCTGAAGAAGCGTCTCGACCTGATGGTTTAGGTTTAGGGTTTAGGGTTTAGGGGGATCTTCCTGGCTTTTGGGGTCAGGCGAGGGAGCTCTTTGTATCTCCGACATGGGCGGCACATGAGTTAGTTTGGGGTTCAAAGCCAGCGGCCCGTTCCACTTTCTGCAGAAATTCATCAAACGAGTAGCGATGCTCCACGCTGACTGTCACTGGCCCATCTTGTCGTAAGTCCTGACAGGCCTCAGCCTTCAACTCCTTGGTCCTTGGATCTGTGTATCCCGTCACAGGTCGTGGTAGAGTTTCAGCTATTACCTAACCCTAAGGGTCCAAGTACCTCATAATCGTATCCTCTCCCTAATAGTAACCTACATAGCTACTATCCGAAACCTAAGTACCTGATTATTGGGTCCTTTGGACCCTTGGGGTAAACCCTATAAACCCAAAACGTCCGGTGGAGAGAAGACGAGTAGCCTAGAAGTGCCGAAGGCAGAAAGCCGACGAAATCGCACACCACGAGATGTGCGTGGCAGATCTGGAGAAGAACAACGCAACGGCAGAGGACCGGGCTGGCATTCCCAGAGAGCCCAAGACCCCTCAATAAAGGAATAGACCTGAAATTCTAGCGTTTGGGGTTTAGGGGGGCCTTAATATTATGGTTTTAGGTCTATTCCTTAAGTAAGGGGTATTGGGTCCTCTGGGTTTCGTGTCCTCAGAGTTCAGGGTTCGAGCCCCATTGAAGCCGAGCGATTTGGGTTGGGAGGGTCTAAGAACTACCTTAAATTACCAAACCCTACTTTTTTGTAGGCTCTGATTATGAACCCTAATACGGAATTTAGAGGGACCCTACAAAAAAGTAGGTTTTGGTAGGTTAAGGTAGAGGCAGGGGTCTACGTCTGAGGATGTCAGGTGTAAGTAGAGTCTTAGTTCTGGGCAGGTATATAACCCTAAACCCTAAACCCTAAACCCTAAACCTTAACCGTATAACTTAAACAATCAACTGGCGTTTGGCTCGAGTTTGACACCCGGTACTTTGCTGAGTTTCTTGTGACGAGAGGGCTTTCGTCAGAGTTCTCCCCAGTCGGCACTAGTTTCCCGAACACCTCCTGAGGACTGCGACTCAGAATGCACCTTGTTCAAGGGGGGGGGGTACTCACAATGATTTCCCGAAGCCCTAAACCCTAAACACTACAGACCTCGCCACGTGTTGTCCGAGTGTGAGTGGCAAAAAAACCCTAAACGAAATCGAAGCTGCAGCTCGCAGGTCTAAGGTCCAAGTGTGAGTGTCAAAAAAACCCTCAAAGAAATCGAAGCTGCAGCTCGCAGGTCTAAGGTAGCGTCCGCGGAGTATGCAGACCAAGCCCTAAACCCTAAACCCTAAACCCTAAACCCTAAACCCTAAACCCTAAACCCCAAGCCACGCCCTCTCCCAGATCTATCGCTGGAAGCAAGCCCGAAGCTCCTTGAGTCCGTTAAACCTACCCTAAGGGTCCGAAGGTTTAGGGTTTAGGGTTTAGGGTTTAGGGTTTAAGATAGTAGATATGTGGTTAGGATTTTGGAGAGTGTATGATTATTTGGCTACAAACCTGAAAGCCTCAACGCCAAATCAGCTATGAGACATCACGAATCCCAAACAAAACCAGCCCCGAAACCCAACAAAAAGAAACACTATACCCTGACCCCTCAACCTCCACAGCCCGACGCGTCCCTAAACCCCAACACCCTGAACACTAACGCCTAAAGCCCTAAACCCCAACACCCTAAAGCTCTGAATCCTAAATATTAAGCCTTAATCAATTAAAGCACTAAACCCTAAATCCCTAAACCCCAAGACCCTAAAGCTCTGAATCCTAAATATTAAGCCTTAATCAATTAAAGCATTAAACCCTAAATCCCTAAACCCCAAGACCCTAAAGCTCTGAATCCCGAAGTTTCTGGAGGAGAAGGAGGCCATCAAAGTCCGCACCGAGGACGAGATCCAAATCCTCAAGACGAAGATCGCCCAGTCTGCGCTTCGCCTTCCCAAGCTCTTGGGGTTGCCGGGGTTCCTTGTAGGGTTCAGGGTTTGGGGATTTGGGGTTTAGGGTGTAGGGTTTAGGGCTCTAGGGTTTTTAAGCCCCATCCGAAGGTCGCAACCTCCAAGCCCGAATTCCTAAACCCTTAAACCCAAAACCCCGAAACCCTAAACCCCAAGCCCGAAATCCTGAAGCCGAAGCCGTAGATCAGGAGAAGGATGCCAAGATGTTGAAATCGGACATTGCAGAGATGGAGCCTCCCGCCTGCCAAGATTAGTCGTTGTTTGTTCCTTCGAGTGTTTTGGGTTTAGGGTTTAGGGTTTAGGGTTTAGGGTTTAGGGTTTAGGCTTTGGGGATTCAGGGATAGAGTTAGAGTTGCCTCGGTCCCCGAAACACCCTTAACCAATTCTCGCTTCCTCTCCCTTTCTGCCTCTCTCGCTCTTTCGATGATCTGCTCCTCTACCCTCCCTCTCTCTCTCTCTCTTGTTCTCTCTCTTTTTTTTTTTCTCTCTCTCTCTCTCTCCCTTCCTTCCTCCCCTTCTCCTCTCACTTTCTCCCTGTGAATTCGTGCCAACCCTGGAGCCCTAAACCTGACCAAGACTTGTTGACAGGGTTTAGGGTTTAGGGTTCATCCTTTCGAAACTTTCGTTCAACCTTAAATCTAGAACATCTTCAGGTGGGTAGATACCGTTATAGGAGCCTTATAGAAGGTTCTTATACCTCATAGAAGCCTTGAAACTTTCGTTCAAAAGGTCCCTACCTATAGTCTCCATTGTAGTTCCCTTTTTTGGGTTTAACCAGATATATAATAATAAGGAATGCATAAGGTATCCCCAAAAGGCATCTACCATGGCGACTATAGGTAGAATCGGCATTGGGAATCCCGCCAGGTCTCTAGAACAGGGATTGGGGGGGACCCAGCTGTCAGTAAAGAGGGTTGAGGGTTTAGGTTTTCTGATGACTTTAAGCTGTTCAGCGCTAAACCCATCTGATTCTTCTTTGGGATGCTCAATTCGTTTTTAGGCCATTGTACTTGGGAATAGCGTTGTGGGGATTTTAGGTCATGTTATGCTACATATACCTGTAAATTAAGGGTCTAAAGTAATACTACGAATTCTTCCGACCCCCGTCAGAATCCCAAAGCCCGAATCTCATCTTCCAGGGTTCTCCACATCCGGGTGTTGGCAAGCTTTTACGGTTTAGGGTTTAGGGTTTAGGGTTTAGGACTGTCAAGTTCTCCAAAGACAACGCCCGAAAGCTTTATCTTTCTTTTCAGAGAGCGCAAGATCCCCGAATCAAGGAATACGCCCTAGAGCATATTCTTTCTCGTATATGCTATGGTCCTGGTGCATTCCTTGTACATAAACCCTTCATATTCCTTGATAAGGGGGTGTAGGGCTCTTTCGGGCTCAAGCCCCTCGAGGAAGCAGATCCAGCTGGCCGGCGACGCCCGGCAAAAAGAGAACACCAAGTTCCAGCAGGAGGCGGAACGTGGCATTCAGTAGGGTTCACCCGAAGCCCTAAATACTAAAGACTTCAACCTGAATACCCATAGGTTCCAGGTTCCCAAAGCGCTAGAGCCTGTCGCCAAGAGCATGACGGCAAAGTGCGTAGTGGACTCAAAACACCCCGGCTGAGAGTCGGCTCAAGGCCTGAGCATGCAGCTCCCAAAGTTTAGGGTTTGGGGTTTAGGGTTTAGGGTATAGTATATACTTTTGGGGCCCAAATACCTACTAAGTACCTACTATAATGGTACTTGCACCCTTTGGGGTTGAGCCCGAGGGTCATTATGGCTTTCTCAACAATGTATTTTTGGCTGTTTTTGTCCTACGAAGTGAGCTCCGCAACTGGTTATAAGAGGGTTTCCGACTCGTCAGTTCGAATCAAATGTCCAAGGTGTAGAGTTTTCGGGTTGCGCATCTTCTCTGCCCGAGGCGTGTCAGGCACTGGCTCAAGTTGGCTAGTGGCCAGAGGTACTCTCTGTACCCTGAACCCTGAACCTTGCCGTTTTTGTCAGAAGCAGTCGCAACATCCGAAGTCCTCAAGCTGTCCCTACACTCATAATCGGTAGCACATTCAGGTTGTCTGTGCACCGTCACCTCCTGGACCCTGAACCTGAAACAACGTGGAACTTGTAATGCTCCGCAGGAACCGAAGAAAGTTGCAGAGCAATGCTATAAGGACCTTGATAGTCAGAATTAGGCTTTTTTCGAGGTGATACTGTACTGTAAGTATGCAGGGCTCTACTATTACTTACTTTGCTGACCCCTTACATGAGTCCTTGGTGCATCTCAGAAAGCCCTTTAAATATCGCACCCTTGGAACGATCCAAAGATATAAAAAAATATTTTATTTATTTATTTAAATATTGTTGTTTCATTCGAGCAAGACCACATCTTTGCTCTTGTAATTGAAGGGTTTGGGGTTTAGGGCTGTAGGATGTTTTCCTGTACTCTAACGTCCTCCAGAGAGCTCGAAGCCCTAAACGGATACCCTGAGCTTAAACACTATTAAGCAGATACCCTAAAGCCCCAACGCCTCAAATTCGCTTGGCTGCTGCGAGGCCTCAGATCAGAAGGAGACCCAGACACTTGGCTCTTGTGCAGAAAGTCGTGTTTGCTCATGAGCATGGCAAGCCATGCAGGGATTATGATTGAACATGAACCCGAAACCGCCTAAGCCCTAAACCCGGAACCTTGACCGTATGGCTCATGAACCTTACTTGCAGGCTCAGGGAACTCAGCAAGCAGGCCGTGCATGGTTGTTATGCCTCCAAAATAAGGGGGAACATAGGTCGAATTCAACAATATCCCCAGGACAGTTCTGGAGAAGGCAGTGCAGTACCTCCGCACCTTCTACAGCGCTGGCCGCCTTGGCACAAGATCTTTTGAAGCGCACTTCAGGGTTATAGGAGTTCAGCATGTAATATAGGGGCCTTCTTGGTTTTTCTGATTATAGTTATAGTATAACCTGCCCCAGAACCCTATTCGAAGTGTTAAGGCCCATATCTTTATAGAACCCTGAAAGGAGCCCATATCGAACCCTTTCAGGGAGCTCTTTAAAGGAACCCTAGTCTAATGATGAAGGGCCCCCGCATGAAATTAGGAGTTCAGGATGTGGGGTTTCGGAGCTGCGGGCTGTCGGGTCTTGGGGGTCTTCGTGTTTTGGGTTTGGGGTTTAGGGTTTAGGGTTTGAGGGGCTCCAGCCATGAAATTAGGCGTCGGTACTTTAGTTAGGGCAGTGAGGGTTAGGATTAACGGTCTATAGGGGTTATAAGGTTTAGGATTTAAGGTCATAGGTTCTAGGATTTAAGGTTTAGGGTTTAGGGGTTAGGGCTTAAGATTAAGGTTTGGGGTTTGGCATTTAAGGTTTAGGGTTCAGGATTTTAAGGCTTAGGGTTTAGGATTTAGGGATTAGGGTGTAAGGTTTAGGGTTTAGGGTTTAGCTGACCTCAATCCTGGATGGAGAGCACAACAACCACCCGAATGGCGTACCCCGCTGTGGACCCTTAACATAGATCCGTGATGAGTCATCCCAATTCCCTAACCCTAAACCCTAAACCCTTCATCAGGATTCTGATAGGCAGCCAAACTTTCGGGTCCTGAAAGAAAGGGTGTTGATTCATCAGGGGCTTGCATCAATCCCCCAAACCCCCCACCCCTCCATGAGCACACGATCTGCACCGAACGAAGGCTTGCTTTGTTTTAATGGAGGGGGAGCTATAGTTTCCTTTATCGGGACCTCCAACCCCTAAACCCAAAGCCCTTCTAAGGGCAGTGGAGCTAATATAGGGGCCTTAATAATTGAGCTCCAGGAAGCTTTGAGTCTGGAAACTGAAAACCCACCATGGAATCCCTGGATTTTTAGGGTTTAGGGTTTAGGGGTTTAGGGTTTAGGGTTTAAGGTTTGGTGTTTAGGGTTTAAGGTATAGGGTTTAGGGTTTAGGGTAGTTTAGGGTTTAGGGTTTAAGGTATAGGGTTTGGGGTTTAGGCCCTAGAAGCCCAACAAAGGGCCCTTACAAGGAACCCTATCATTATCTCTCCCGCGTAGCGGAACCCGTATAGACCCGTCTTTACCGGAGCACCATGCCAGCCTGAATCTGACGCCCCCAAACCCCGAAACCTTAAACCCTCGTAGAACCCGTCGGTACCCTCTCAGCAACTCTCCCAGAACTCAGAAACCCTAAACCCTCTTAGAACCCGTCGGTGTCGGAGCCCTATCATCACCTCCAAACCCTGAACCCTAAACCCTAAACCCTAAACCCTAAACCCTAAACTCTAAAGCCTAAAATCTGCCCGGAGCCCCAAAGGCTCGCTGGTGCAGATCAAGGCACACACGACCCAGGCGCAGAGGCTCGGCGAGCCTTCAGAAACGGATTTAGGGTTTAGGGATTTAGGGTTTAGGGTTTAGGGTTTTAGGAGTTTAGGGTTTTAGGGGTTTTAGGGGTTTAGGGTTTAGGGTTGGGCTTCATTATATGAGGATTTATATGGGATATCCCTATCCT